AGCCCACGGGCCGGAGCAGGCCATCGCCCACAGGCCTGATCCAGGCACCTCAGCGGCATGGCGCACCTCCTGGGCCACCCCGGCTGCATGGAGAGCCTGCGGGCCGACCTGAGGGACCTGCAGGCAGCCATCGCCGACGTCTCCTCCCGGGCCGGGGTCGTGCGTTTCCCCTCCTGGAAGTTCCCCGATAAAGTGTCCTGCGACCTGGACCTGGCGGCGCTGCTGGAGCGGTACAGCTATGCCGAGAACGACCCCGAATTCACCCAGCACTCCCACGTGGTGCTGCTGGAGCTGATGATAGACAGGTGAGAGGGCAAAGCCAGCCCCAGCCACCCCTCTTAAAAGAAGCTTGGCTGGCAGAGCGGCTCCTTCCCCCCGGAGGGAAGGGGACGGTTGTGCATCCAGCCTGTTGAATGCGGCCAAGTGGTTTGGATTCTTTTTTTCCCCACGCGTTTCCATGATGAGCGGTGTGCTGGCACCTCAGCACCTTGGCCTCATGCTCTGCAGCTCTACGCTGAGTTTTGAAACCCAACTCCTTTCCCTGCACAGAGCTACCAGCACAAATGCTGGCCACAAAAGAGCAGAGAAAGCCGTGGCTCCGCTCGGGAGCCGAGGGCAGCTGGGCAGATGGGGGCAGGCTCGTCAAATTGCCCCCCGAAACCTTGGAAACGCTCAGGCACGGCTGCACCTACAGGCCTGGGAGCAATTTTGCCATCTGGGTGAAATATGACTCTGTTTTAAAAGATGAGCCATTCCCGCGGAGCTGTAGGACCTAACAATTAAGATTTAATATTGGCAGCGTGGGTGCCCCAAATCTTTTGGGAGAGCTTAATTGCAGCCTCTTGGAAGTGGCTGGCTGCAAGCAGCGTGCGCAGCCTGCGTCCCGGCGGCTGCAGGAGGATTTTCGTGCCACCAAATACTGCTCGGTGGAGTGATTCAGGCCTGGGGGGTGATTCACAGGAGCACTGATATCCACCCTCCTTTGCCAAACTCGTCTTGTCCAGGGGATGGGGAGGGGACACAGCCTCCCTTGCCTCAGCACTGGCCCTTCAGGCGCACTGCGCTTTCCCCGTTACAAATACTCCGTTGCTCTAAGCTGTGGTTCGTTTCTGTTGAAGAAGACTGCTGCTGCTGCTTCAGAGCTTCACGGGCTACGCAGAAAACCTGCTCAGCGAGCGAGCCATCCCCCCGGCGCGGGCAGTGGGACCCTGCATGTCCGCGGGGCTGACGGCGAGGAGGTACTGGTGCAGCATGCTGAAACTGGGGGCCTTCTACCAGCAGCTCCTGGCCGAGGTGGGACATTTGGGTGCCCTGACGCCCCACGAGCTGAGTGCAGGGGTCACAGAAATGGCCCTTGCCTCACTCCCCCATGATTTGGACCGTGCTGAGGTCATGGTCCTTCTTGGGGACGCCCCGTGACACCTGCAGTGGCCATGCCTGTTGTGCTCCTGGCTCATGACCCTCCGAGTGCTGGCCCGTGTGTCGGACAGGACACATCTGTCCCACACTGTCCCCTCCCGGCCTGAGTCCTTTCCCTCCTCTAACCACCGCTCCCAGCCGTGCCGCTGGATCCATCCTCCTCCAGGCATCCACCAGGATCTCAGGATGGGGGAGCTTGGCTGCCTTTATTGCTCGGAGGAATATTCTCCTCCTGCCAACATGCTGCCCCTGCAGCTCTGCCGACCCCACTGTTTGTGGGGCTGAGTTGGCTCAAATCAGTGAAATAATTTGTGGTAAAAAACACTACACCCCTCCCCTGCCTTTTTTTTCTTTTTTTTCCCTCCCCAAAAATGATCCCTTTCGTGGCAAAGTCTCACAATAATTCATCTGGCATAACCAGGAGGCAGCGCGGGAGGTGGGAAGGAAGGGACGGTCACAAGAAGGGGAACTGGGGAGCAGGTTTCACTGCCAAGGCTTTCTGTCATGAAACCACAGCTCCGGTAGTGGTGGCTGGAAAGCTGCCTGGCAGCTTACAAAAATTCAGTTCCCCTGTACCCCACATCAGGGGGTGGGAAGCAAATTCGTTTTGCTTGTTAGCCATGTGCTTTGGTTGTAATGCAGCACAGTAAACAGGGAACCCGAGCGCTTGGTAGCTGTCCTCCTCCAACCTCTGGGAACTTCTCTCCTCCCAAGAGAAGGGCTTGCTGCCCTCGTAGCCCCTTGGCTGCGCTAATGCCCTGTCCCCACGCTTCACACCCCTGTATTTGGGCTCTTATGGATCATTCGCAGCCTACTGTTTGATCTGGGCCCTGTTTTTGTTCTGTGCTCTCTCCACCAGAAGAAGGCTTGCAGGAAGGAGATCCCCACGCTGCAACCCACTTCCCAGGCTGGAAAACCTGAGAAGGAGCACCCAAAACACTGCTTGCCTGACGTTTTGGAGTTAAGAACTTCCACAGAAGTTGCCCAGTCCACTTCTCTGTGCCCGTCATTGCGTGCCCGTGTACCAGGCGGCGGCGCCTCGGGCAGCTCCCTGCCCAGGGCTGCCTGCAGCACAGCTGAGAGCAGCCGCAGCATCCCCACGCAGACAACTGGGTCGTCTCTGGGGCCCTGCGACACCTGCGCCAGCGCCCAGACCAGCCTCCACGAGGTCGGCAAAGCCATCACCAGCATCTGCCAGAGCCAGAACATCCCCTCAGCTCTGAGCAGGTTCCAGGAGATGGTGGAGGAGAGCACAGGGAGAAGGACCCTCTCTGCAACGGACATGAGCTACTGGGCCTCGGAGCAGAGCAAGGACCTCTCCCGTATCAGCAAACACCTCCAGATGCTGCTGCAGCAGGTCAACCCTCTGAAGTCTCAGCTGGAAGAGTCAGAGAAACAGAAGGACAAGCTGCGGAAACAGGTTGGGGACTTTTCCCGGTTGCTTCAGGCAGAGAAGGAGACCCAAGCACAGCAGAAGAAGGAGGCTGAGCAGAACCTGGAAGTAAAGAACAATGAGTATTTAAAGGCTGTAGCCAGGCTGGAGCGGGACAAGGATGACCTACGGAGAGGTACAGTGCTGTTCCCAGCATCCCCTCCCAGGCCTGTGGGTATTTGCAGGAGAAGCATGCAGTCCGTGGTCAAATCTTGGTCCCACCACCATGAGTAGGTCTTTTGCTACTCATTTTGGTAGGCGCCAGGGCTGTTCCCCGCTGTGAGACTAACCCCAGACAGCGGGAGCTGGTTGTCCACATCCTCTCACTGCCTCCTCCCTGCTGAAGCACAGCACGATACAATCACTGGATGAAAAATGCTTTGGCGTGGCTGTTTGCTGCCTCCTTGTTTTAGTTTCTTTGAGGAGCTGTTTAATTAGTAGAGTTTTTGTGCTGATTTAGGAGCTGCTCTGCTGGAAGAGCGACTCTCCACCTTAAAGGAGGAGCTGGCTGCAAAGCAGGCTGCTGTGCAGGAGCTGGGTAAGGACCCCTGGGGCTCACCCAGCTGGCACATCTCTCCCCCAGCCTCGCTCCGATCTCACGAGTGTTTTACACCCATGTAACTCCTGGCTCCCCCAGAATCGGTCGGGTGTAGTGCTGGTGGGAATGGTGGGGAGGATGAGCCTCCGTCACTGCAGTGCCGAAACATTGTCCAGCACCAGAGTGGGCTCGTGCTGGTGGAGATTCAGGGGGTCGCAGCCCTCCCGTCAGAGCTGCTTCCCCCTCGCCAGGGCCTGTGGAGGGTGTGGGGCCCCTTCAAGCCACCCTATCTGGGAGCTTCTCCCCCTCCTGCTGAGCCTGGGCCAAAGGTGCTGTGTCTCCCCAGAGGTGACCAAGACGACCTTGCTGGAGGAGATGAGGACCACAATGGTGGCCAGGAGCCGGGTGCTGGAGCTGGAGGAGAAGGTGCAGCTGCTCACCGGCCAGCGGGAGAGCCTGGGCCAGGAGCTGAGCACCACCACCACCCAGCTGGAGAAGGAGAAGGCCAAAGTGGAGAGCATGCTGAGGCACCAGGAGGTATGGCCGGGCCCGCCGCTGCCCACCCTGCCCCGCTCCGGGCACGCTGTGGGAGTGGGCTGGGCTCAGGCCAGCTCTTTCACACCCTGGCCTTAAGCCGGGGTGTAGGAGGGGATGGTACGGAGATTCCACTCGTGGTGCTGGGCCCCAAGGAGCTCACCCTCCGTCTGCGCTAGCGCTGCACGGCTTTCGCCGAGCCCTCCTTTTCCCGCACCCCTTCTCTGCCCTCTCAGCCACTGCCACAGCCCCTTGTCATCGTGGGTGCTGCTGCCCGGTGTAAGGGCGGCGGTGAGCGGGTGCAGCAGCAGCCCCACGCAGGCTCGCCTGCCCTGTACAGTCCCTGCAGGCCAAGCAGAGGGCCCTGCTGCAGCAGCTCGACAGCCTGGACCAGGAGCGCGAGGAGCTGCAAGCCAGCCTGGGAGAGGCCGAGGAGGACAAGGCCAGGCTGGCAGAGCAGCTGGAGGAGAGCCGGGAGCGGAGCGGGCAACAGCTACAGGCGCAGCAGGTCAGGGCTGGCAGCCAGCACGCATCTGGGGGGCTGCCAGGAGTGGGGCTCCCTGGGGAGCAGCTGGTGTGGGACACAGCTGTGCCACGGGGGTGTCAGGAGCCACCCGCTGTCCCGTCTCCCACCCGTAGCCAAAGTTTTCCCAGGAGGGGGACTCTGGGACTTAGTGTGACATTGCCACGTGGCCATCTCCTCCCGGGACCCCCTGGGGAAGACCCCTCTCCTGCCCGGACGAGTCTCTGCTGCTTTGCCCCGCGGCCAAGGCAGGGGGGAGCAGCAGGAAGCAGCAACTCGGGCTTCTCCCGTGTCTCCCAACATTCCTGTTCCTGGTCACGCACCGTATTGTGCGTGTCCAGGAACATCCTTGGTGCTGTTGCTTCCAACTCACACAGGGACCTTACAACCGAGACCCTGCAATTTGTCACACTGCTGTGGGACATCCTTATCGCATAAGGGAAGGGCGGGAGCTTTCCTTGGGGATCCGAGTACTCCCGTGGGAATCCCCAGACTGTACCGTTCCGAGGTTTGGGAGAGCGCTCTGCAAACCTCAACAACCTCTCTGCTGTGCCATGCAGGAGCTGCTGGACACGCTGCGGCGGGAGAAGCTGAGCCTGGAGCAGTCTGTCTCGGCACTGCAGGCGAATGTCTCCAAGCTGGAGGAGCAGGCGCGGGAGCTGAAGGAGCGGGAGAGGCTCCTGGTGTTCTTCCCCGAGCTCCACGTCCCCACTGAGATGCAGTTTGAGAGTAAGGGAGAGGGCAGCGGGCAGCAGCACCTGCTTTTGCCGCAGCGGGCTTGTGCCTTTGGGGTCTCCTAGAGCTTGCAGGGGATCCTGCCGGCCCCGGACACGCCAGTGTTATTTGCACAACGCAGTTTGTCCCACTAATAGCCAGGAAGGGCTCAGTCCATGGGCTGCGCTAAGCCGCTACCATCTTTCCACACCTCCCTGCCGGGGTGCTGTTCGTCCCACTTCCAGGCCAGGAAGTAAAGCAGGGCCAGGGCATGGGCAGAGCTTTTGTCTGCCCTCGCGGTTTCAGCTGGCACGGTTTTGGGTCCCAGCTGCCACCTCCCGGGCTGTGCTGGTGCTCCCTGGTTGGGGCAGTTGGCGCAGGCTCCTTTCCAGCGGGCAGACACCCTGCTTGGGAGGGAGGAGGGCCGCTGCCAACACCTCCGAGCAGGCAGGCGGCAGCGGCCTGAGCTCTGGCTCCTGCCGCGAGGACGTCGTATTTTGTTTGCAGGCACCGGGAGCTTGACCGAGGACATGGAGAAGCAGCTGCAGGCCAACAGCATCCGGATTGGCGTGCTGGAGCAGGAGAACGCGCGGCTCAGGTCTGCGCTAGCCAAAGTGAAAGCGGCTGCTGAGCAGGGCGTGCTGAAGGTGAGGCTGCACCCAAGCCAGGGCGAGCTGGGTGCCGCCGGGGAGAGGGGTGCACGTGCCAGCGGGGTGCTGCGTACCCCAAGATCACCCCATGGCCCCTGGCACTGTCCCACATCCTCTGTGGACTGGTTCCCTGGTTGCGTACCCTTGCGGAAGAGGCTCCAGGGAGCAAAAGGCTGTGGGGCTCCTCGCACAACACCCCCTGCGACTCGGCAGCTGCTTCCCCAGCCTGCACGGGGCCAAGCTGGACAAAGCTGCTTCCAGAAGGGCATGAAGCTGGGCGGGGGCTGTGATCCTTCGCAGGATCAGGTCCCAGGGCCTGATCCTGCCTTCAGGAGCCCATCTTGGCCTCAAGGCAGCTGAACCGGGTGCTCCTACCTGATGCTTTCCGAACCAGAGCGGCCAAGCCGATGCTGGAGCGCTGCAGCGTGCTCGCAGCTGCCGGTGGCCAGACCCAGACCCGCTCCGGCACGTCCCCTGTGCCGGGCTGCAGCCAGGGGCAGCACACCAAGGTCACTCGCTCCCTGGGAGTGAATGGCATGGGCAGGGCAGCGCTGGGGCTTGTGCTAACCCTTTGTCAGCTGCTCCTGGCGCAAGTCTTCCCTGCCTGGTGTGGGCGGCACGCGGCCGCAGACCCAGCCGGCGACGGGGGCTGCTGCGACACCCTTCCCCGGGGGTCAGTCGCTGTGGCTCAGCCCTGTTAGGTTTAGACCAGCTCCGTGTTTTTGGGGTGTGCCCACCCCGGGAGGGCCAGGGCCCGGCCTCCTGTGTCACCGGGAGGTCAGTCTGGTTTAACTGGTGTTGGCAGGGAAAGCTGCTTGGCCGAGGTGCCCGGGGCTGGTTCCCAGCTCCTTTACATCGGCCCCGCCACGGCCGTTGTACCACCCCGCCA